AACAGTTTCAACGTGATTCAACCTGCTACCATATATAAGCGTGTGCGGGTTAATTACACTAGCGGTCAAAAGTATAAGGCGAGACTCTTTGGTTAAATTTTTTGTGAAAATTTAGAAAAGCGAATTTTTATAAGGATCCAATGATTTAATCTCGAAGTTGAAAGATTATTTCCACATAATTGATTAAAAACTCTTCTACACTGTTATTTATGTTTTCTGCAGATGTGATTTTTGCATTAAAATAAAAAGTGAAAAGAAATTTTCAGAAGTATTTATCTCCTGATCTACTGAAATCGCCTCAACCATTATAAAATGGTTGTTGTATGCTCAATTTCTCTGGTACTTTTCACTGATATTGATATACGTGACATACGTTCAGTGATAGGATCGCTAAAATACGTTACAAAAACAGGGAAACAAGTCAAAAAGGTATTATAAATGTTTGTAACATTAAACTGGTATGTCATTTTCCTCATTCTGCTAGGATCCTAAAATTTGACAATGTATTTTACTGTACTGTGAAGTATAAATTTAGTAAACAACGAGCCTTTTTAGAATTATATTTGAAGCTTACTATTCGTGTATAATAATTTCCATTTCTTAATGTAAGCAGTATTGAATTGTCTAGTAACAATGTATCATAACCAGAATCATTCCAACATATTATAATAATTAGCAACTGTATTAAATACATTGTTAAGCTTATTAAACACAATATTTTGAAAAATAATTAAAAACAAGATAATATTTTCCTATAACAGCATATTATACAGAACTTCTTCCACCGTGAATCCTTCAGAACTGTGTTATCTAAAATGTCAATATTTTATAACTATAGTTCTCTAATATAATCCATTAATTGTACCAATAAGTAACATTATTTTTTCAACATATTTCCATAAGGTTCGAATAAAATCTGTAAAGATACGATTTTACACATTTGTTGAAAATATTTCACACAACATACGAACTAGTCATTGTCAGACTTTTGGGATATTACTCGCGATACGCTTGATCCCATCACTAGGTACGTCGTCACGCGTTAAACCGCTCGCTGCTCGACATTTAACGTCGAGAGGACGTCACGCAAGGCGAACCGAGCTTCTGGAGGCTTGCGTGGAAATTAACGCGTCACGACTTCATCAGGTTTGATAGGATGTGCACCTAAACCCCGAAGCGAGGCCGTCGACCAGAGTTAAAGCTCATCTACAAACACCATTCGCAGTTAACGACGTGTCAGATCAAGCGCAAAACTCTGTTTTCGACTTTCATTACGAACTGCGCGCCGTGATCCATTTCGAATGAGACACCAGCTACGAAACTACGGTTAAGTGTCTGATTTTATGGGATTCTTCTCGACCAAGTAATCGTTTGATGTTTCGAAATATTCCACACAAATAATTCCTTATAATTTTAAGTTGCAAATGAGACATCTCCATGAAATGCCATTTGCAAGGAAAATTTTAGCGAGTCCTGCGTTGAGAGAAGCACAAGGAACTTAAAATTGTATAATTTTGCGAAATTTCGTTAAGCTCTGTATTAAAAAACAAATTTTTAAAAAGAGTACAAGGAACTTGAAATTGTATAATTTTTTAAGAATTTTGGAATAACAGTTCCCGAGTACAATTTAACTCTATCATTTATAATATTACCATTACCTGAAATGCAAGGTAATTACAAGCAATTAAAAATCCACTAATTTCACGCTTCAAGTTTGGAGAATTAAAAACATTTCTGATATATTAATTATCTTTCCTAGTGGTACAGAATCCCATAAAACATCGTCAATATCATTCGTTCCACTTATTACCCATTCAAATGCTAGCAATGAAAAAAAGAAACTCTCGAATCTCCTAGAATCGTTCGTAGCCTGAAAGCGCATACAATTCAGCTTCTATCTTCCTCTCAAACACACGAAATATCTTCGTGACCTATCGAAAAAGCAAAGTTAGTGAAGCTGCAAAGTAACAACAGCGGTTAGAGTTCGCCTCAAGAAAAACGCGTAGCATCACTCTGCTGATCGACCACCACTTAAGGGGTAGCTACCTTTCATTGAATCAAGGCAGGTTTCCTGTGGTTCATGTTAAAGAATCGGAACTGTAGCCGCAACGTTAGGTCTTTCCGTACTGTTGGGAAAGAATAGAGGTGTCGTAAGTATAGATCGCAGCTCTGACTCGGAAGAGTCTTTGATCGGTGGGTGGTAATGTCGTGAGAATACTACTGAATTATATTCATTCCATTCTCTATGGCGACAGAGAAATCGAAACGATCTAAATTGCCATTAGTTGACTCTTAACATGGAAAAACAGGATTTTTTTTCTTTTTCTCTTAGTTGAATAAAACTCGTTTCGACGTCTCTTTGGCCAGCTAAAATAGGCGTGGCACGCCATCGTAATCCTTTCAGCTTATTGTGATCACTGTAATCGTCGAACAACCTAAACTTTATGTGACGAGCATCTACGCGACAATGAGACGATAAATTGCGAAATAGGGAGCGACCATTGGTGTGTGTTGACGTGGGGACTCCGCCTGCAAATATAATCCGAGATATGTGTACTTATCGTGTCAATTGGTCACCGCACTGAAAGGTTTGTTCGTCTTCGAATAGTTTATCCTATTTCCTTCTCTTTGTACAAATACTTAAGCTGTATTCTGTCTTATTATTTCGGTAAAGTATGTGCAGCTGGGTGAAATGAAAGGACTGATGATGCGGGCAACTTAAAATAAAATCGTGCGAACGATGCGTGAATGTCAGTCATGATATGTGTACATGATACTATTAGCTTTGTAGCAAATATCAATAATGCAGCTACTAATACTAAAACTATTTTATAGTATTAACAACACAGTTATTGATCCCATGATTAGGTAGTATAAATTCCAGTTATGCCATTTGCTTCATATTAATTGCATGACTACCATTGCTGATGCTAAAGCTAATTTTAGTATGTCCACTGATAACGATACTGCTATCTGGCACTACTACAAGCAAAGATAGAACTACATTATTATTGCTATAATAATAAATGGTGATGCAATATTACCGTTATCGCTACTAAGTGCTTTTAATTATTTTTATTATTTCTATTATATTCTTTCTAATCTTCTAATATAATCTTTCTAATTCTTTCTCTTACATTCTTACTAATACAAAGAATGAACAAGTATAGACTTTTACTGATTAAGGCAATTACTGAAACGATTATTGTTAGACCAAGGTTTGTTCACGAAGTAAAATGCACATAACAATTACGAACAAGTAAAGAAATTCTTTTTATCTCAATATTCATTGACATTCGTAATTATGGACGAAAGGTATCAGGCACTAAAGACAGGTTTTCAAGACACTACTAAAGACGGAAATTTTTTTCAACAATAAATACTACTCACTCCGCTAATTAGCGCTACGCTGTCTCTCTTAAGCCACCTATGGGGATTGCGAAATTTTTGGAAGGTTCACCGGCCTCTAGTTTAGCGCGTTGCACACGACAGACTAGCAGAACAAATAATTCGTTAAAGCTTTCTAAATATTATTTCTACTTTTCTAAGCGGTAGGGATAGGGTAAACTTTTGGCAAAATGAAAACGGTCCAATGCAGGCGTTTCATGCGTTAATACGCATTTTTGCCTGTTTGTACGATTATGATATGAACGTGCGAATGACAAAATGAAAAAGATAAAAAGCTTGCATTGGATCAGATGAAAAGCGTGTCGAGTACAAACATGCCGTACAGTGAAGGAGGAATAAGAATTTGACCTAGAATGATTTGTTGCTGAATAATTGCTTGTTTTCCATGTATTATTTGTAAAAAAAAAAGAAAGTGTTTCTGTACAAATATATCGTGAAGTGACGTAATACAGAACAAAAGCAATACTCGAACCATTTTTTCTAAACTAATTCGTTTAATAAGCAAGTTCCTTATCTGATTAAACGAAACGAAATTGCACAAAAAGCATGAATCATTGATGTTACGCCTGTTTTTTTGATTATCAATGTTAAATAAGCTACATACAAGCAATAATGAAACGCGACTGAAACAGAATCATGCCAAATCGAATACTTTAAATCATATTTTAATAAAATCAATAAATCATACTTTAATACTTTAAATCATATTTTACACTTGTCGATGAATTTTCTAGGTACAATATCTTTTTAGTGCGCGAAGGAGAATGGAAGTTTAAAAAAGGCAGAGAGAAAGGTGTAATTAGAACAAATGAAGGCGTTAGAAATATGGGGATATATGGATTACGAGAATTGGTGCACTCTAGGGGTCTCATAATTACCTCTATGCCACTAGCTAGAAAAATAATAAATGAATTTAACGGGATGAATGGATGAATGATGATGTGCTAACAAAGCGCTATAAAAGACTACGAAGCAGATTCGGAAGAGTTAGAAGCATTTCGTCATATGATCTCCATGGTCCCCCATACAATTGCTCCCATCTAAACGAAAAATTAACAATATAAATATCGCTAGAGCATGAACAAAAGGGAAAAAACGTGTCTCTTTAAAATGTACGAGTAAATGTTCGTATTTAAAAAAGTACGATTCCAATGTGGCACATATCTCTGGATAAGTAAATCATCTGCAAAGATTCTTTTCATTATAAACGTACAAACTAAACGTTCGTGACATATGTACGGAAATAAATTCAGAATTAATATACCTGAAAAAAGAACGATTAACCGATTGATCTAATGATCTAACCTAATCTGCAGTGCAACTGCCAAGTTACGTCAAAGATAAGAAGTCGACACTTAAGATATGATTGATGAATATCACTTAAGTAATAAAAGATCATTTTATCTTATATATTAGTTTGCGCACCACGCGTATATAACTTTACGAAAGATAAAACGATCCTTTATCTTACTTAGAAATATGTATACAATTTTTCATGGTAGGTTTCACCTCCATGGAAAATTATTTTGGGAAACGAATTTGAAAATTCCAGGAAAGAATGTTTTTTCTGTAAATATATTAGTTCTACTTACTCCTATCAATGTTGCGTTGTAAATGTGCAGCTACGCGATGTCTAGCATCGTTGAACTCCAAGTGAAGGCCAAGTCGGAGCAATGTTGGATTTTGTTCCACCAATTGTGTAATTTCCATCTCAATTTTATTTCCCAATACCTGTGACCTCTATAAATTTAACAAATATTAACGCTTTCAGATAAATGATTGTTACAGCCGTCCAATTTTTTATTTTTACATTGCGAATAACGAATATATACACTCAAGTTTGTTAATAAACATTACAAAGCATAATTACACAAGTTAAACTTTTAAACGTATTCCAAGTATCAAAATTATAACAGTTTTCAAATTTGAAGAACAGAAAAAATGTTTTTCTAGGTTCATATTCAAAGAAAAAATTGCTCGCGAAAGAGCTAATTGTATTTTACCTGATTCGAACATCGAAATTCTTCTATTGATTTCGTTTTAAGGAGTGCCCTGATGAGCCTAACTATCACAGATGGGCTTATGAAGTTCGTCTCCACACTGAAAAAATTAAAATTCTGGTAAACAATAGTAATTTATGAAAATTACTAACACTATAACAGCTGATACAAGGCATTATACTGACTTGAGTACTCTGAGCGTAGAATTTTGTTCTAAGGCCTCTGCCAACCTTTGTGCAGTCTTATCAGTGAGTCCCACATTTGTTAAACTCAGGGATTCAAGATGTGTATTTATTTCTAGTCCTTCAAATAGTTGAACAAACTTTTCGTCAGATATATTCTGAAAAATAACAAATTAACATTGACCATAATTACTGACAATGAATTTCCTACGAATTTGAAATTACTAGAAAGTTTCATATACCTACTTTAATGTTATTCCAATTTAAGTCAGTCAATGAAGAATCATCCTCTCGAACTTGTTTAATTGTGGCGTCAACGTCTGTATCATTAGGCGGTTCCATTGGGTAAGGTTTTGGTTGACTAGCTTTCGTAACTCCATCCCAGCCCAAACCAACAGGTTGACCAGAATTTAATAGAGAAGCATGGTACTGGTCTTGGTTCATCATGGAATGAAATCCAAGAATAGCTATGTGCAAATAAAAAAGTTTGATATTAATTATTACATTAAACAAGACTGAAGATTCTTATTGCTTTTTCATTAATGATATTTACCAGCAAGATCAATGATTTCTTCTTGAGTAGCGTTAGACAATGCTTGCTCATATTCTTCTCCCAGATCAATAGCAATTTGTTCTTCTGCTTCTTTTTCTTTTACTGTTTCTTGAGGAGGTGGAACCCACTAAAATCAAAAACAGAAATACATATGAATGCGACATCTTTCAAATGTACCACAAATTAAATATTTAATTTATAATCACAGGTACCTTTTTGCCTCTAATTACACCAGGTACATAAGGCTTCAATTCAGGTTTATCTGGTGTTTCTAAAGCTTGTTTATTGATGTGTTCAATAAGTTTCTTACGATTTAGCGGCCCTGTTGGGCTCTTGTCACATTCATAACTACAACGTTGTGATGGTGGCATAAAGCTATCCTAGAAAGAAAATACAAGATACATGAACATTGATTTTAACATTTCAGTTTTGAAAACAACACGTTAATTATAATTTTCTTACATCCGGATCCACTTCCTTGGCTAGTAAATTAATTTCTTCTGGGGTAAGTTGTGCCAACAATTCATCCACATCCACATCATCGTATTCACTTAAATCCTTGCCATATAGCTTTGCAGCAGTTGTCATAGTGGTTGTTTTGGTTGATGAAGAAGTCTGGAAAGGTTTCCATGGTTCTTGGTCAACTACAGAGTATCTCCGTGACATTTTATTGGTTGAATTATTAGTGAAGTTATATGATATTATGAAATTGATAATAGTTGATGATTCTCTATTAATACTAAACTATGTCAATATTTTAACACATTCGCATTGTAAACAGATGCTATGTATTATAAAGGAACACTACGAATTCTATATTATTAAATGTACGAAAAACTACTACAATTTTTCCTGATAATTTCTGAATATTTTATTAACGATTAATTTCACTCTCTTCAAATTCACATGAACGAATGCACGTGAAATTCACTGAATCAATTGAAACAAACGAATGACAAAGACTACAGCGTTCAATTGACGACCGTAAAATTGAACCAGGAACAATGAATTATGTATATTTTTTCGAGTGTAATATCAACGGTGAGGTATTTCGTCACAGAACACGCTCATCACTACACCTAAAAGTACACGCAAGCAGTGTTCCTGATCGAACGATCAGCAAATCGACAAGTTGCATTTAAATTCGGCAAGTGTCCAATACGGCTGATGCCCTTTGCCCCACATAATTTGGGATCGATTTTCATTGACAACTCATCTGCCAAATCGACAACCCACGCTAAACAAAAATTCGTCCCGAGTCTGCAATATTAGCGTTTAAACGAGAGTGAAACTTACTATTGACAAATTATTTGCGACAACGAGGTACACTGATAATAATTCTTCAATGCAAAATTAGGTGAACCGCTGGCAATCAAATACCTCACCCACTTCTCACGACAGACGCACACTTCACTGACCAGTTCACCGATTGCGGCTGATTGCGGCAGCGCCCTTTGACGCTTATACCATATTCGGACAAAGAACGAATCAAATAAGATATTTATCTCAAGTATCCTTCGCAGTTATTGCAATTACCTTATGAATATTTTTGTGCTGCAAGACGACTTTTAAAGTACGAGGGATATTTATTTAACGTTAATAATTGCTTACAAAGACGAGAAAATTTTCATTCAATTAACACTTTAAGCAGTTTGACACCAACCTTGTAGAGTATTAGATTGAATGAAGTATACGAGAAGCTAGTCCATGGAGAAAGTTTCTGCGCGTCTAGCGTCGCGCAGGTATTGACGTGTGTAGCATCCATGGCGGTTGTTTTAAAACACGCCCATATATGTACAAGATTCGCAGGTTGCGAAAAGTTGAACAAGAATTTACCATTTTTTATTTTTACTTGGACCCGCTCAATTACTTTCAAAGTAAAAAGTAACAAAGAACTTTTTCGTGTTAAACTGTCAAAGTTAAAAATGAGTAATCCCATATTACAATTGGTGCAATAATCCACGTCGATGGAGTTATTCATTTAAATGAATAATTTCGTTATTATACGTATACGTGGCACTATAATTTCACGCCTTATGGGCTAGCAAATTGGCTACGCAACGAAAATCATCCGTCCGCTAATAAAGTGTTAAATAATCGACAACAATGTTACAATTACGGTTTATTCATAATATAACCGACAGACTTCGACCAAAACATGTCCAAACGCATAATCAAAAACAATTTCGTGAAACGGACGAATTGTGCGTGAACCTTCCGACGGGCCGTGTCAAAATAATTAACCCGATGAATGAATTCTGCCCAAGGTCGCGCAAAGACCGGTAATCGGCGTGCACGTAAAGAGTGGGGAAAATTTGCGTGCAAGGTGGGAACGTGGTGCGCAGGCTCGAGATTCGTGGTCGGAAAAGACAGAGCGGCCATCTCTGTCGTTCTTTGGTTGTGCAGTTTTGATTAGAGAGCGTCTATCGTGTGTTGTAGCGCTCGTAGCGGCGACAGCCTCAAAAATAGCTGAGGCCTCCTCACAGGCTGGCACACTCCCAACGGTCTATACTTGGACATCCCTGCGCCATGATTATTTATAGTGAACGCGAGCGCGGCCACTGGCCTTCCCACGAACTAACTAGCCGCCTCCAAAGATGATCCGTCGCCCGTGACCTAGGCCCGCATTAATAACGATTACACCCCTGCGCTCAGGAATACGACAACTTAATCTCTCGCTCTGCTGCTGGATACGTATGTACGCGTTTTGATCGTACGACTTACGAACGATTTTTAATCGTATAAAATACGAAGTCTGTCATCATGAAACGGATGGGTGGTAATTTATGTTGATTGGACAAGGTCAAGAATTGCCAGGATTGCAAACTTAAAGATGTCGCTTTAAATAAGGAACTAGAAGCGACTTGTATCGTTTAGTTTCATGGAATTAAAGTAACTTTATTTTGTCGATCAGGTGAATTATTTGTATAGCAATGTAATGCATTAATGTAAAAAGTTTATAAAAATATAGATATTGTAAATAGAGACATTATATTAACGTCTAGAGTTATGTAAATCCTTCTGCTGTGAAAAATATCAAACCTTAACCTGTTAACTGGGAAAGACGAGTTATGTTGTCATTGGTTAGCCAATACTGAGAACATAATAGTTTATCTATTGAAGGATTATTCAGTTTTAATTGTATTCTTATGCTTGTATTAAATGACGTAACTGTAATTTTTACTCACTTTTAACTATAAACTAGAGAGATTCAATTTCTGTTCGAAAGGTGAACCCAGTTAATAGGTTAATAATATACACAGAATAAATAAATTGACCTTTTATATGACACAATATATATAAATAAAAGAATTTTGTATTCAATTTTACCTACGAACGCGACGACTCTAAATAAAATTAGAATACTTTTCGAAAAGAAGAAAAAATACCGTGTTTATTCTTAAGATGTACAGTAACGCGAAGATCACGTTTTCCTCTACTGTAAATTCATGAATATATTCACTTCATCCTGACTTTCTTATTTTCTCATTTGCGATCCTCGACTTACGCAATTTTCAAAGAGGATGCACGCTATA